CTTTCGTCAGAATTTAACATATAGTCATGACTTTTAGTTGCTACCTGCTACTTGTTCAACTCAATGCTGCAAGAGAAATGAAGAGAGAGAGAGAGAGAGAGAGAATGAGAATATATATGTATGTAACTGTGTGTGTATGTGTGTGTGTGTAAAAGAGAGAGAGAGTGAGAGACAGTTTGGAGCTATTAGCTATTAATGGCATATGTCGTAGAGCACAATCTACATACTCAAGTACCTAGGCAGTGTGCACTAGACACAATGGCGTCTAGCGAGTTTAGTCTCTATCTACTCATCAACGAAAACGTTTGAGACAGAAGAAGAGGGAGAGCTAAAAAGAGAAAGAGAGAAAGAAAAAAAGAGCAGAAGTACATCAAACGGTCCATTTACCTCCCTTCCTTCCTTCCTTCCTTTATTTTTTTTCCCCCTTCTTTTTTCTTCTTTTTTGTTTTGTTACTTGAAAATCTCACGAAAGAAAGTATCTCTTTTCTCTCTTTACTCGGCTTTACCATTTACCGTACTTTTAATAGCCTCGTTAAATGTTTCTTAATAAACTTAAACTTTTTCCTGTTTCTTTTTTTTATTTTTACTTTTTTTTTTATATTTCTTATTATTTTCCTTTAATCTTCGATCCCTTGGAAAACTTCATCGGTATCTGAATATTTTTTATGTATACGCGAAATAAAAATTCGTTCGAAGTTTGCAAAGTTAGTGATTTATACTTGAAATGGAAAGGAAAAAAACGTGTGTTATCGAGCAGGATAAAAGTAGAGGAGGGTGGTGGTGGTCGTGGTGGTGGTGGTGGTCGTGGTGGTGGTGGTGGAGGTGGTGGAGGAAGAGGAGGGTAGTTTGATTCACAGTGATAGATATAATCGACGATTTCCGAACACCAAAACAACATGACTCTTCGGATCGTTAAACATACTCGATTCGGTTGACATGCCTGCGGATTTTGGCGTATCTGACACTTGCGTGACACGAATTACCATTCGTCGTCGTCGTCGTAATCGTAGTCCGTAGTTCGTAGTTGTAGTCATCCTTGTTCTACGCGTGTTCTATGCAATAGAAAATTTGTGAAAATATATTTTTATTCGATATTCTGATGATCGATTTGATCGGTGGGTGGGGAGGGGGGGGGAAAGAAACTACCAAACGATCAGTCGTATTCGATTCAATTCTCTTTCATACCTTTATTTCACCTTCTTTCTCTTTACTTTCCACTTTTCCCAGTACATTGTTACTGTTTTTCTTTTTATTGTTTTGATAAAAGGTAGAAAAGTAACGTTACTATGTAATTTTACGATCGAATTCATTTTATTTCGAAGCAACGAACAACGTTTGTGTTTCGAAATGTTAATTAACGTTTCATTTAGTCCTGTTTGTGTGTGTGTGTGTGTGTGTGTATTATGAATTTTATGATAATAAAATAAATTACATTTATTACGATCCTGAGATGACTCTTCTATTATTTTCGATATGAGTATATATATATATTATTACTTTTTTGAATGAATTAAACGAATCGTATTTTATTAATGTAGAAATTACAATAACAACTATGTTATTCTCGTATAAATTTCATATAAACGATTTGTATTAGAATGATTCATGTGCACGTATAAATACATAAATGCATAAAAACATTGTTAATACGGTATAATTTTTGTTTATCTTTTGAATTCTATTTCATTTTTATTCGAATACGGCCGCGCGATTTTGTCAATGGGGTTCGTAGGGGTTGATTTAATTTTTTGTTAATATTTTTATTTCTTCTTTTGTCTTTTTTCTTTCTATATCTATATATATATAAATATCGATGACACTTTGGAATGAAATTTTCAATCGTCAAATTAATAACGCACGTAGTTTCATACATTTACGAGGATAACACATGGTGTTCGTGAAAAATGAAACGTTTAAGACGTGTCGCGGTATACGATTTCGAATGGTTGCTTCTCTTTACTATCGAAAGAAGTGGGACTCTGAGCATGTGGGTGGGGGGAGGGGAGGGGAGGACAGAAAATAAAATAAAAAGAAAGAAAAAGGAAAAAGAAAAAGAAGAAGTTATAAAGCTAAACGTTTCTAGTCGGATTCGCGATAAATAAACTTTTCTCCTGAGTTTTTCTCTCTCTTTCTTTCTCTCTTGTATTTTTTTCCTCTCTTTGAGCGTCTATTGAACGAACGGGGAAAACGTTCACGTGTTTCCGAAACCGAGAATCTATACCTTTACGATAGACACAAATTTTGGCTGGTATCGATCCTACCAACACCAATTCCCCTAAAGAAAGAATATAGCTATTAATAGCAAATATTATATATGTATATATATATATATATATATATATATATATATAT